GGCCAAAAAAGACACATCCTTAGCACTCGGCAACCGGAACGGATGGCTGACGCATTGGTGTCCTATTTTCTGAATTTGAAAGTCCTCGTAGACCTCTCGAGTAGTCCGAGCTTGAAATCTTCCAAGAACAGTTGTTTCACCAAAAGTCGGTGTGCACTGGCAGGAGCGACAGTGTGTAGGCAGGCGCCCGCTTACCGTTGCTTGGAAGTGTATAGAAATGTTCTCTAAGCCGGTCGTTGACGTATCGTTCAGTCTGTCCCATATAGCATCGACCACACGTCAGAGGGAGCTCGGAGACCACACCCTCCGTGCAGGTAACGAACTTGTTCTTGTACTTCTTGTGACATGCGGCTCGTGAACGACTGTCAAGGACGGAGCCCACATTTGCACGGATCTTTGCTAACCTTTAGGGGGCCGAAAATACCACGGGGACATCATACCTGTTAGCGATTTGTCTTAAATTGTGAGACTATTTATGGAGGGATGGGACTACGACCGGGCGCTTCTTTTGTATATTTTGTCTGCTGCTACTACCCCCTTTAACCTTCTTTAACAAAGATCCCATCACCTCTGTTAGAACTGCGTGAGGGTAACCGGATGTCTTAAGGAGTTCAAGTTAAGATCGACAACTGGCCTTCACGGTATGAAAACAATTTTTCCAAGGCCGAGCCTAGAATGGACAAGGGTAAGCCCCTTTTCACAATCTTAGAGTGGGAGGATGTGCAGGGCAGAATATCTATTTTAGACCGGAAAGAGTAGGATCAGCATAGGATATTGGCCGGGGCCGATAGCAATAGATATAAAAATTGCAGGGTCCCATTCTTAGGTTCCTCGAATGTGAACCTTATTCACGAACCGCACTTAACGAAGGTTTCGACTACCTGATGTACACCATGACCATCCACTCCTTTCTCGTACACAATCAAAACGTCATCAACGTATCGAAACACTTTTCGTACAGGCAGGGAACTGAAGGAATCATGGATACTTTCATCAACCCTGGACATGAAGATGTCGCTGAGAACAGGGGAAACGCACGACCCAATACATACACCGGACTTTTGTAAGTAAAGGTCGTCCTTGCACCCGATATACGTATACTTAAGGTAGTAAATTAAAATCGCTAGAAAGTCCTCGATGGAGATGCCGGTGGCATTTTGAAATGCGAGCTCGCCGTTGCTTTCAATACACGATTGACCAACGGCAAGCAGAGGAGAATAGGGGATGGAATGAAAAAGTTCTTGAACATCCACATTAAAAATCTAATGATGACGGTATTTATCAAACCGCAGTGACTGCACTACTGCCTCAGAATTGCGGACCAGAATTGGATCCGAGAGGTTTAAACTGGAGAGGTGCTTCTGGAGGTAGGCAGCGACTTGGCGCTGCCAGGTACTGTACCTCGCTCCGTGACAACGACCCGGAATCGGCAGTCCTCTTTATCTGCCTTGGCAGAGAACACCTGGAGGTGCAACCCCTCCGCTTTCTTGGTGTTGGCGGCCAGTTTGGGCAACGATATCGTAGAACAGAGGTCCACTGCCCTACGTTTGGCCTCTTTGAAGGAAACATGCTCTGCACGAAAGCTCTTGCTCACGGCCGCATTAGCTCTGCCTTAGGACATTCCCTATGAGATGAGCACAAAGGATCCTTCCTTGTGTGCTTGTAGTATGCGTACCTGATTGTCCGATGCAAATCTGACTACTGGACGGGGATCATGAAGACGTGTGGTACGGGCTGGCATGCTGCAAAGAGCATCTACTCATTCCGAAACACACCGAGGTCTAAAGTTTTCATCCAATCTGTTGGACACACATCGAGATAACTTCGGAAGCTGAGGAGGCTGGAGATTAGGCGGCGTGCAGAACTTCGGACCAAGGTTGAGGACTTTGCCTATCTAAGGTGGAGTTTCTATGCCTCCAAAGGACTGTCCTTTGACTTGAACCAGTCAGTGGGACATGTAGCCGAATAGAGGGTTTCACCTCAAACATGTAGTTTTTCTTCCTTTGTGGAAAATCGTGTTTGCTGTTTATGTAGTTGAAGTGAACCGGTGGAGGTGTGCCTGTTTATTCTGATGCCCAACAGTCTGATTTCCTCGCCAGTATACGGAAAATCACAGCATTTCCCTTGAATTCGCCATCCTCCCCGTCTACGCACACGTGCATCGAAATACAGGTGGATGCGCATGGATGTACCTGTGCATTTATACGGACGCACACGCACGTAAAGTCATATATTAATGCATACGCACAACTACATCTTTAAAGATTTTTAATATAAACACATAAACATTAAACATATATAACATATAAGCATATAAAATATAATCATACATATAAATGTATTTATACATTTATTTTACAGAACGTGGCCGACCTTAGTGTTTAATGCTGCAGCTGTTGTGCTTCGTGGAGCAGATGAACCGAAAGCAAGCGGTGTGAGGAGCATTTACGATTGTCAAGTATGTATTCAGTCTCGAATTACCGTACGCTATAATAGATTGAATTTTGTTTGTAATATATGGAAAGATAGGAATGTGCTAAACGTTTTAATAATTATGTGCCCATCACAATTATGTTTCAAGCCAAATGGCATCAGACCGCCTATAGATAGGTTTTTTTAACAATATGATATGGGTTATTAGCACATTTCGAAGTTAGAATACTTTTGTTTTTGGGATGATTCATTTTTGCTAAAATAGTTTCAGATATGCGATAGCAGGTTGGTGTTTTTGTCGTTAGGTATTATCCCTCTTTGTCTGGCATGCCCCTCAGAATGAATCACGGTGCACTAAATGCCCAGAGCATCTTGAGGGTTCAAAGCAAGTCCCCAGAAAAACCAAGAAAGTTTTGTTTATTAAAAATACCAAACAAATTCACAGTGTTAAAGTTGTTACAAACTTTCGCTTTCAGTTAAGGTGTTTATGAAGCGAGCTTGCGATTTTTTTCAACCGCATTTACGGCAATCTCAAAAACGCCTCAGGGAAACTTTCGCAGTTTTTGAAGAATATTCCGGCACTGGTATTTTGGGGTACCTCTGAAGTGTTATTTCTCACTCACCGGCAGTTTTATTACGACTCCTTGTAGCTCTGATTCAAGGGCCATTATGCCGGTACACAGTCGAAATCGTCGAATTTAGTCAAGCCTGTAACCAGGGATGGGCAAAATACATGCAAATATGTATCGAAACACAAATACAAAATACTTCGTCAAAAATGTATTTAATTACAAATCTAATTACATTTCCAAAAAAGCATTTAAGTACAAGATACAAATACAACCAAATGTATTTGGTCTCCCTCCAAATACTTTTCCGAATACATTCCTCAAAATTTGCGTCAGCGACTTCAGGGCACCTACAACGGGTTTCTGGGTATCTCATTTTAATTTGGCATCGCGCACTCGGGAGTTGATGTGCGAGGCTCTAGTAACGTAATAGAAATATATTCACAAAAAATGTAATCAGCTTGGGCGTAATAGGTGAAAAAGTGCACAGCTTCAAGCATCTTTTTTTGTCGATTACATTTTGGTTTAGACCAACAAAGAACCGAGACGACCAAGACGCGCAGCACTAGCTAGATAATTTTTTATTGTTGCCACTCGCACCAGTTACGAAAATCTGGACGACCCGCGCATTTAGAATGTTCCAGGCAAAAATATGGATGGAAATCAGGCTGGAAAGCATCACAAGTTGTCGCAGGCACTTATTTAGCCAGTCGGCCTGTGAACGTCGATTTCGTTTCTATTCTTTCCCTGGACTAGCACTGTAATCACAAAGTCACCAAATGCTTGTGCTTGATTGAGAGACACTGCATTCGGTGCAGAACGTAGTTTCCTTCGGGTCACTACCAGTTCGGCCGGCCCTCGCGGAAGGGCCAAGCGTGGATTAGGGCCGAGTGAGCCGGAACTGCCGAGTGCGGGGGCTCTGCCGACGACTGCGAAAGGGCCGGGAGGGGTGTCGAGGCCGAAAGAGGGGGGAAGGCCGGGCACGGCGGCAAGGATAAGGGAGGCGAAAGGGCCGAGAACGGGTGTGTGGACAGTGACAATAAATTTGAGGGATGTATTTTCGCCCACAAAATAGTATTAAATTACAATTGTATTTGAAATACCCACATTTTAGTATTTAAATACACACGTCAAATACATTACCCAATTTGTACTTAAATACGGATGCAAAATACACAAAGTATTTGAAATACGTATTTCAAATACTTGTATTTGAAATACTGCCCATCCCTGCCTGTAACATTGGTTATATTGCCATGGTGTAGTGAACTAGGCAAATGTACTTGTCCCAGTGTAGGGAACTGCTCGCTCTTATATGCCAAAGCAACATCACCGAATAAACATCGTGCAACACCAGGTAACCTTTTATAATCAAGATGAGTCCGCAAGTTCGGTCATTGGTCGCGGTGTTTCTTCGAAGTCCCAGAAGCACTTCATAGTTGCCGCTTCGCTACGGCTTACCGCTTCCTTAGGAAGGACTTTCACACAACTTGTGGGGCCGCATGCCCTTCGCACGTTCCCGCGGAAGGCGCGACTTGTCATAAATGAACGTTACCTATTGCCTCTCTACGCTGGTTTCGAAAGGTAAAATTCCTAGCCGCTAAATCCCAACAAAGTCATTGCTCAGCTCTCGAAACCAACTGTATAGAGTTTAGGTCGTCGTAAAACGGATCGCATCCACATATAATTATTTTGCGTGAGCTTATTTCAGGATGTTATTTTCAACTCGGTTCTGCAAACCCCTGTAGCAAAATAAAAAAACAACAACTAAAAAGCGACAATAGAAAAATTTTCAAATAAATGTTTTGTTATGTGTTTAGTATTTTTAGGAATTTCGATTTTGTTGACTATACGATGAAGACCGTCAGACAGACGAATAGTGTAGAGTCTGTAGAAAATAAAGTAAAGGTAACAGTTTAGCTATCGAACCCAACGGTAAGCTGGTTGCGGCATTCTTAGGAAAAGCATCGAAGCCTGCTTTTCTGGAGAGACTCCACCATGGCAAGAGCGCTCTTGATCTCTACTATCGCTGCCACCGCTCTGCTGCTTCCCTGGTGCCGTGGCGCTAGTCCACCGTATCCAGAACTGAACCCAGCCCTGAGCAAGTACCAGGACGCCACGAAAGTACGTCTGGTTCAATGATATGTCTCACCGATACCTAATATCTCGTATACTACTGCATATCTGGTGTACGATTATGAGGTTGGGTCGCAGTAGCAGGTCTACCCTTGAAACCTTAGATCACTCAGTGGAGCGCTTGGTGTCAAGTTCTGTGAGCCATGCAGCATTACTTGCAAACACGATTGGACATCGTTTTTTTTCCACTGAGGCTGCACGACGATGGGAGCACAACACCAACCGGCCATATCTTATGACATGAATAATTAAGGGAAAGCGAAATATTGTTGTTTGGAAGATGTCGCTAACCGTTTTACATTTCGGAATTCTTATAGGGTGCATTTAAAAAGATCGACCACAATTAGGTTGAATTACGTCGCAATTTCTATACTCATGCATTGCAAAAAAAAAAAAAAGTGGCAAATTATTTTTAGATGGAGAAAATTAGAGGTTTCGCGTAATCACCTTAAGTTGACAAGCTCTTAGGTAAAAAGCGCAACGCATTTAGTGTAAATATGTTTATTTTTTAAGCGAAAAAATATACTCGGTGAAACAATAAGGCCGCTGAATACTTCATAATTTCAGCGGTGTTACCTTTAATTACGGATAGTTTAAGAAAGGTATTTATTAGGTTTATATTTCACGTCTCTTGATTCGTTCTTTGCCGTTTTATCGCCTAGTGCTGCAAACAAATTGGCTGCCAAGAAAAAAATAAGGTGCCTGTTACTCGCCATGCCTTACGTTTCTGAAGTTGCCTGTGAATTTAGTGTAATTTGAATTGATGGAGAACACGTCCTTCAAAATATGGGGCTGTGTTGCAGATTATTTTACGCCATTTGCTCAAGAAGGACTTTGGTGGAGGTCATCAGGAAAAAAAAAAAGGAAACGAAGTAGTGTAACAACTATTCTTATCCATTGCGCTAAAGTAAACAATTAATCAAACTTCGCAACCGAGCACCCAACCTAAACAAAATTACACAAATACGCTAAAGCTTCGCCTTCAAGAGTGGAATGCGACAGCTTAATACAAGTCCCCGCAGGTCCCAAGATGGGCAAGTGTGTCGGCGTGGCATAGCCGGCAGCGTCTGGCTCGCAACCAAAGGGTCGTGGGTTCGGAACTTCGGATCCCGCTTCCGCCTAAAGTTCTGCGGATGTTTTTCTTTAAGGTAGATGAATTACTCTAAGAAGTGAATTGATATGAGACATGCGGCAGCCTTTAATTCGCATTACATATCATGCTCTAATCACTGTCGTTCCACGCGTGACGTACCATGTCATGCTTTAAAGGACACATGCAAAGGAAAAAAAACATTTTTTTTTTAAAACGGCTTAGATGGAAAAAGGACGCCATAAAACGATTTTACAACGAAGAAAAACATTTTTTAGAGCTATATTTACGGCGCAAAACGAATTTGTAGTTGGCGCCCGCGGGCACCGCGGAAAAGTGGTCCGTATTTATCACGTGACTGGTCCTTATTTATCATGTGGTGCTTGCGTTCTTTCAGAAGCTTCCTATGGCCTCTAAAAGTAACTTATTCATCTTTGTTTGAGGTATAACAAAAAACTAAGATGAATAAGTAACTTTTAGAGCCCAAAGGAAACTCCTGAAAAAGCGCAAGCAGACGTGATAGACCTGTGCGCCGGTCAGACGGCGGCGGCGGCGCCCCGAAGCAGACGACCTTGTGCGGCGGCGGCGACGGCGGCGTGGAGAAACGCGTTGAAGCGGCGTTCGCACAACGCTGAGCATGCGGCGGCGACGCAGCGCGGCGGCGCGCGGGCCTACCACGTGACCAGCGGCGGCTCCCGCGAGCGCCAACTACAAATTCGTATAGCGCCGTAAATATAGCTCTAAAAATTTATTTTCTTCGTTGTGAAATCGTTTTATGACATCCTTTTTCCATCTAAGCTGTCTAAAAAAAAATGTTTTTTTCCTTTGCATGTGTCCTTTAATCACTGTCCTTCCACGCGTATCTATTTTAATAGAAATTATATTTTGTTGAAGGTTATGAATAGCATATTAAGCTCCACTTGAAAGGCCCCCCACTATTTTCGCAGTAGAGGAGTAAATGATGGAGAGGAGGAGAGCATGTAGAAAAAAAAAACGCTAATCAAGATGAATAGGGGTTTTGTGGAAGGGGTTGATCATTATATTTATTTTGTTTTGTTTTGAGTTTTGTTTTGTTCATCTTTCAATGCAGTGTTTACCAATTCAAGAGACGTGGTACACGATCTACAGAAACTACGAGAATGATCCAGCATTTGGAGGTACCGAAAAATGTGGCCGATTTACTAGCCTTGGTCCTGGAGAAAACGGATCCTTTCCAATGTTAATCCAATATGGGCAGAGTTCAGTGTGAGTATAACTTAGGCAACTTCAAATAGGCCTTCCGAAATGTGGATAAACATTGATAGCTTCTTTTACTTACACAAGTGTTTTGCTCTAAAAAATTAGAAAACAAATGCAATGAAAAAAAAACAAAAAAACAATTAAATTCAGGAGTTGCACGATCCATCGCATTGCAAGTAATAATAAGCAGTTTACTAGCTGCGATAGGAACTAACTTGAAAAACTCACTTTTCAGAATTTCAAAAGGGTAGATAAAACATACGGATGTCGCAAGCCTCGAAAAGGTCGAGTTTAAAATGTTTCGAAAATTTCGAGCCCCGCCAGGGTTCGAACTCGAAAAGTTCGCAACTTCAGAACCCCCTTGATGTTCGGAGTCGAAAAATTGAAAATGTCAACGTTTCTGAAAATTTAAATTTAATGGTTTCCTTTTTTTTCTTGTTTACGAATATTAGTAAAATTTGAACATTTCAATTTCTTTAGGATTCAAGTTCCAAAAATCGAACATTTCAATTTTATTTGAGGTACAGGTTCAAAAACTTCGAAAACTTCAATTTTGAGTTTGAAGTCTGAATTTCATGGACAGAAATCAAATTCCGCAGTTTCTAATTAGGTTTTTTTATGCATTCATAAAGATGAAATCCCGAAATGACCTACGAATTTTACTGAAAACGTTGTGCATTTCTGTTTTTTGTCGCAAATTATAGAACAAGGGCTGAACCGGTTGCACAGTTCATTGAAAAGCCCAGAGGCGGTCAGATGAACGTACTTCCTACCTACTTGCAAACAAGTATCAATGCGATCAAACATCGTTCAGATGCGATGCTGGCGTATGACAACTAAATACACAGGACAACGCAGACACATGAAAACAACCAGGCTTCCATGTATTAGTCTGGGCGTTTCTTTTCGGTTGGATGACCCCTGGGATGGCGAAAACTCTGGAAACAACCACAGCACCCGACACAAGTCGACATTGACTAGAGGGAAACCAGGCAAAATTAGGGGACCCCCCCCCCCCCCTCCCCCCCCCGTCCCCCTCCTTCCCCCAGAAAAATACAGCTGCTCTGGTCACAACCGGTTGGTTGTCATAGGGCTAACCACACTGTCGCTGCCTGTAACTTTTCTTCTTCGTTAGTAACCGGGTGCTTACTTATGATAATGAAGTAAGCGCAGGCCCAGCGTTCGTTGTGGCGCATCGGTGACTCGTTCCGCGTGCGAGGAACTTTCGTTCAAGAACAAATCTGAAGGACGCCTTCAGCGAAGCGCCTCGGTTGAATTTCAAGCCTGCATATCAGATATTTTGGCCCGCAGGTTACCAAGGGTCAACCTACGGAATTGTGGTCGCGAGAGGCCATGTGCGAAAGTCGAAAGAGAAAAGTGCGAGGTTCAAGGCCGAGGCCACCCGAAAGGGATAATTAAGCGCTCTAAGCGCGAGTGGTTTCGGGCGGAATCAACCAAGTAAACGTCCAGTAAAATTTTCACTCCACATCATACATTGACATCTTGCGTTATTTATACTCGTTCCCTCGAACCTAAGAGGGAGGGAGGGGGGGGGGGGGGGGGGAAGCTTGGTTCGAGCTTTGTCGAAGTTTGCTCAGATCTTCGGTGGTCGTCGATCTTCTTAACTTAGCTGACTCGAAAGTTTGAGGATTGTCGAATTTATCAGCTGATAAACTTAAAAGCTAGCAAACGGTCAAATTCTATAGCGTAACATTTTTAAAACTTGGAAAACAATCAAATTGCCTATATCGGCATGGGCATGTAATGTTGCTGCACGCATGCGTGGCTTTTGTAAAAGAAAATAAACCAGAAGCGGTGTGCAATTCCGAGTTGTCAGTGCGGCATTCGAGTTGTCAGTGCGGCATCCACTCATGCGCTACGCGGGGATCTTCTCATTTTACGTACGCACTCTTCAACAACTTTCTAGTAAAATCTCGGAAGTTATCGGCTGTTTTGTTAAGAAAATTTTATTTAGTTGTCGAAATTTTTTTGAAAGTGTAACTCGTTTATTGGAAGCAGTGTCTGTAAGGCTCGGGTCAGCCGCCCTGCCTGCGCCGACACGGTCTACGAACTAAAACCTCTAGGTTTTATTTAGTTCGTAGATCGTAGTTTTCCGAAAAGAAAAATATTTTGTATTCCACTAAAGCAATCAACATAAATTTTTTGCTTTCATTATGGTGGAAGTGTTGAGCGTCGCCAGCCCCAGTTTTATTATCTTATAACTGCGAAGAGAAACTACGACGACGAACAGCGATAACGAGCACGACGACAGACGGCAAGGAAAGACTACAACGACAGGCTTCGATGACATTTGGCGGCGACAGACGCGTCAAAAAAAAAAGACGACGACAAAAAAGAACGACAAGGACGAACGGCGACGTGGGGAACCGACGACACTGACAAGCAATGATATAGTTACCGGCAGAAAGTAAAACGCACAGCATGGCTTAATATTTTAAGTAGTCCTGCTTCGCAATTGGTTCTTCAGCTCTGTTATCGGCTAGTGCCATATTCTCATTGGCTGCGAACCAATATCAAGGTCCACGGATCTGGCCACATTCTGCGTTTGTTAAGCTCTCTGTGAGTACAGCGATAAAAAAAGTGAAAGCCGTTTACCACTCCCTGTAACGCCGAATTGGAGCGCAGCTCTTGAGGAGGAGGAGGGGAGGGTACTGAGGGCCACGTGTTCTCGGGGGGGGGGGGGGGGTCACGTGACCTCGGGGGTCACGTGCCCCCTCAGAGGTCACGTGACCTCGGGAGGGGGTCACGTGACTCCCCAGGTCACGTGACCCCCGGGTCACGTGACCAAAATTTTTCCGCTAGATTTAGCGGGTAAATTTTTTCCGCTAGATTTAGCGGGGAAAGTTTTCCGCTAGATTTAGCGGGGAAATTTTTTCCGCTAGATTTAGCGGGGAAATTTTTTCCGCTAGATTTAGCGGGGAAATTTTCCCGCTAGATATAGCGGGGAAATTTTTTCCGCCAGATTTAGCGGGGAAAGTTTTCCGCTAGATTTAGCGGGGAAATTTTTTCCGCTACATTTAGCGGGGAAATTTTTTCCGCTAGGATTTAGCGGGGAAAGTTTTCCGCTAGATTTAGCGGGAAAATTTTTTCCGCTAGATTTGACGGGGAAATTTTCCCGCTAGATTTAGCGGGGAAATTTTTCCGCTAGATTTAGCGGGGAAATTTTTTCCGCTAGATTTAGCGGGGAAAGTTTTCCGCTAGATTTAGCGGGAAAATTTTTTCCGCTAGATTTGACGGGGAAATTTTTCCGCTAGATTTAGCGGGGAAATTTTTTCCGCTAGATTTAGCGGGAAAATTTTTTCCGCTAGATTTAGCGGGGAAATTTTTCCGCTAGATTTAGCGGGGAAATTTTTTCCGCTAGATTTAGCGGGGAAATTTACCCATAATGCACCGCGCGGTTACGCCGACGGCGACGCCGACGGCGACGGCGACGGCGACGGCGACGGCGACGGCGACGCCGCTCAAGCCGGGAACGGGCCCCTAAGAGCTGCGCTCTAAAACAACGCCTAAAGATCGGAATTCTAAAGATAGGATTCCGATCATGCAAAGTGCCTGATTCAGGCTGTTGAAAAGTCGCCTTGCTGATGCCCAACGCAGAGGAACAGCACGGACCAAAGATTTCGGAAAACATGAAATTATATTTATTATTAAGGAGCGAACCGAAAGTGTGTATTTATCTAAGGTCACCAGCTGACACCTCCGCAGCCTGTACCTTCTACGACAGGCCCCTCTTTTCTCTCCCGGGGTGGGTGTCGCCACTGCCCTTTATTGTTTCACCTTGGCCGGGGTAAGGGCCCCGTGCTCCATAGGCACAGTGGTGCCTTGTAGGTACAGTGTCGCCACCTAGGCACAGTGGCGCCTCCTATAGTTTCCACAAGGTTTACAGTCTCATGTTCAGCCTATTCAATACATCATTCAAACGTTCATATTTGTCTTGTCGTCCCAGAGATAAATACAAACTATTTCCTTTAAAATACTGCTTTGTGCTCAAGGCTAAGAGCCACCCCATGACGGCAGCGAGACCAACACGGCGACTATCCATGTCGCACGTAGGCTTTTTAGAAGACGAGCTCATGAAATATATCTATATATAATTTCTTCAGATATATTTTCGAACTGAGTAATATATATTCAAAATAAGGATATTTTTGTCTTGCATCTTTACAGCAAAGTATTATCAACCCCAGCGGCATCTGACGGATACGACGTGCAAAATCTGAAATACTTTCAAGCCGTTGGCGGTGAGCACGCTCTCATACAATGGTATCCAGCACGATAAAATCAAGACAAGTAATGTTCAGATATTACATGGATATTATACGTAACGTTTTGCTCGTCTTCGCAGCCCCTTTTGTGAGATAGGAAGCTAATGCCAACATGCATCACTGGGGTTTGAGGCTTCACCCAAAAGTATAAAATTTAAAAGATATAATTTCAGTACCCACTAAAGCCACACTTCGGAACATATGCTCTGGGCACCAAAACCCTTTTTGCTTTTGTTTTTTCAGAAAATGTTTCACTGCTTGTGTACGTTGCCTACGTAGACTGTCAGCAGTGTATTGTGTTCAGAAACAGCTACATCAATGGTAAGTATTTTGCGTGAAGTCGTAAGCTTCTAAAAGTGGTATTTTTCTGCTGAAAAACCTGCTGAGATATAGTGTAACATTTCCCCTAACATTCTTGCGAGGACTACTTAACGCCTTAGAACTTATTGCTTTTAACGGTTAGACTATACCGTACATGTTTTTCTTTTCGCAAACTATACAAGTACTCCCCAAGCGCAGTCGAGATTGAAATTGCTCTAATAAACCAATATGTTATATACTGTAAATATCTTATTTTTTGCGATTTAGGTCAAAGCTGAAGTTTTGGAATAATTCGCGGGTTTTAATTTCCGCGACGTTTTAGGATTTCAGTATAGATTCCAATCTCTTTACATTTTACCGGAATTGTTCGCGGGACCTGTTTTTCGCGAATTGTATGTGATTCGCGAAATTCGCGAAAATTAGGTCTTCGCGAAAATTGCCTTTACATTATATGCTTTTATGGTTCCCCATAGTGAACAAAGGAGATTGGCAATATGTTACATCTGAAAATGCCTGCGCTATGGAACCTGCAGAGTTATTTGCAGAAAAAAAGTGTATATTGAAAATGTGTTCGAACAATTGGACGGTCAAAACGAGTTCATTTGCAATTAGTGGGATCAATATTTTGTAAGAAGGAGTTATATCAAAATGTGATTCCGACCGCTCTTACGGGTTACATCAACACCTCAACATTCCAATAACCTCAATGAGCACTCGTCTCAGTTATCATAGTCCGTGGCTTAGTAAATGTCAGCCTAAAAAAAAAAAAATCTATGCACTCCTTGATAATGCTCCAACAGTTTTACCTAGTGACGGAGATTCTGTTCGGAAGCCAGTAATTGTTCGTAGTCGAAGCAGTCACTGTTTTTGTTTCAGATAATATGTTGACATAATGTATTGGCAGGCGCGATATGAATGGCAAGAAAAAGAATAAAGCAAACTGGGGACAAGGAACGACGAGTTTGTTTTATTCTTTCTGTTGCCAGTTATTGTTACCAACAAAATCTTCAATTATTGCGATAGAGTTGCTCCTCTTTTTCATACCACTACAAATAATAGCGTTGACTGACTTCCCAACTGCTCCATGGTGGGGTGTTAGAACTGTTACCGATATTCTTGAAAATAGCGCATATAATCTTTGAACTGATGGCTTACATTACCTAAAAAAAGCGTCACCAAACCACAGGTTAGTTAGTCTCTTAGCCAAAGAACCAAGGCACTTATTACACGTCGCCCTCCGCCTTGACGCTCATATGAAAAAGGTAGTAACAAAGCGATTTTAATATAACTGATAGGATGGCTTGAGTGCTATGCGTTGTGATCCTGGTATATCTCTTTACTACAATGTATATATGTGTGTGTGAGGGGATTCACTCAGGTAGAATTTATTACGCTGTTTTACGCATCTTTGTCATTTAGAATTCTGGTTAACCTCGGTATATTCGAACGCTTACTTTTACGTACGAGAGGTAAACATTTCTTAAATAGTGATATGGCACTGGAGTATGACTAGGGCTCCATGTTTTCGGAGTTCATTTTTCGTGCAATTCGGAGGGTGTTTTTCGAAATTTATTTTTTAGCAAAAATTCGGTGTTTACCGGAGTTTATTTTTCGTAAATCCCCAATTCTTCAAAAATTGAAGATTAATTTCGCAGTGTTCCCTATTAAAAATAATAAATAATAACTGGATGCAAACGTATGCCAGATAAAAAATAAAACCCACTTGTATCAATTAAGATTTCTTCAGTTGAATTTGGCGTTGGTGTCATTGGCAATACTAATTTGTCCCACGGCAAAAGTCGCACACAAGTGCGGCTTCGATAAACGTCGATACCTTCAAACAAAAAAAAAAAAACTGCCGTAGGTAGCCGCAAGGAAGCTCGTAGTCATCCCATCAGTCTATCCCGCGGCTGCGCGAGGTGGAGCGGTTAAGGATGTAATAGAGAAGTTTCAACTGCCCCTCTTCCCTAATTTATACAACCTCTATGGTCCATAGCTATGGCTCCGTGTTTTCGGAGTTTATTTTTCGTCAAATTCAGAGGGTGTTTTTCGGAGTTTATTTTTTGCCGACAGTTCAGAGTCATTGGAGTTCATATTTGTTTGATTCCCAATTCTCCGAAATTCGGAGTTTAATTACGCAGTGTTTCCTATTGAAAATAAATATGTAAATAATAACCGGATGTAAATATATGCCAGATAACAAATAAAACGCGCTTGTATCGGTTAAAATTTCTTCAGTTGAATTTGACGTTCGTGCCATTGCCATTTGCAATATTCATTTGTCCCACGACAAGAGTCGCACAAAAGTTTTGCTTCCATAAACGTCGATACCTTAAAATCAATAAACTCCCGGGGGCAGTAGCTACGAAGCTCGTACTCATCCCATCCTATTCCATCAATCTAGCCCGCGGCCGCGCGAGGTGGAGTGTTTAAGGATGTAATAGACAGTTTCAACTGTCTTTTCTCTATTTAATACAATCTCTATGGTTCATAGCTTTCACTGTTACAAAAACACACCTTCTCCTTTCTCTATATTACAAATCGCATGGCTCAGACTGGAAACCAAAAGAGTGGCTTTTGTTGTGACCCGAATGTACAATGACCTGTTGCCCTGAATCAACTTCGACGAGACAAGCGGCAAGACCCCTTTTGACAACGGGCTGAGATTTGAAAGATACTTATGGTGCCACTTTCCCAGGACCATTAACTCCGTGCTGATGAAATTAAAAAAAAAACAAAAAAAAACTAGTTTTTATTTTTTGCTGGGGGGGGGGGGGGGGGGGGGGTTTGGCACATAAACATTCGGAATTTATCGGATGAAACCGAATTGACCAGAATTTTACCGACGGGTGTTTTTCGGAGTTTTTCGGATTTATTCGAAAACATGGAGCCCTACTAATAAGCAAAGAATCTAGATGGAGTAATTTCTGCTTTCATAAGTATCCCAAGATTGCCCTTTCCGCACTGATGTGAAACGATTTACAAACATGGCTGCCGGCGTGCTTAAAGAGAGCAGCTCGTCGAGCTTTTTTATTTTGACGAGTGCATGGGGTTTTGCGTCCACTGAAGTGTTTAGAGGAAGATCCCCTCAACCGACGTAGTGTGATAAAAACAACTGTCCCTAGTACGGGCCTTCGGAAGCGTTACGCAGATGCTTGTCTTCGTAACGGGACTCGCGTAAGCCTAGCGTTCGACATCAACTATGTTGCCCAACCTGGCTTAATTTGTTCGTTTGCGAGTCTTGATGCTGAATAAAGACGTCGGTACCCGCAAAAGCGGCTCCGCTGCTCTGTGAATCGTGCAACCATTATGATTTTAATCATGGTTTCAATACCGAGAATATGCCTACATAAGCAAGCATTCGCGAGTCATTTGGCTGGAGGCAATCGGGCGTTCGGCTCGCATCAAGTTAGTCCAGGTTTGTTCCCATAATTTTGCTTGGAAAGCCAAGTATCTCAAGTTCTGCGTGCACCTGGTCTGCCAAAGCAAATATTTTAGGTCACGTTTAAATTGTGTGTCATGACGCTCACTCACCTTGTTTGCAGATCCAAGCGGAAAAAAACAACAAAAAAACAAGAACATAACAGTTGAAATGACTGCATATTCATCTTGTTGCATTTTTTGGTCCTCTCGTTCGCTTTTTTTTTTTTGCGTCACATGAGCAGGCAGTGACAGACACTTTTATTGGAACGTCGTTCGCGCATGACGGAACGTTCGAACGACTCTTTCATGGTCGAGTCTTGCGAACGTTGTATAATATTTTAGACGGGGGCGCAATAGCAGACTGACATAGGCGAAAACGGACGCCGACGAGCCGCTTTCAAGTAAAGGGTTAGAGGCATTTCAGACGACGATAGACGGAGGTGAAATAGTAGAAGATGCCAGAGGCTGCTGGGCGTATGCTCGCACAACTAGCAGGAGGTCTCAGACTCCATACTAGACGCACTGGATGTCGCATCCTCAAAGAATGTCGCGACTTATCCGTATAAAGGGGCCTTAGTTTAGATGTTTCCCTCCACGTTGACGCGCCTCACCCAGCACAGAGTTTGCCACCGATTCGTCCTCCGGCACTTCCCATACCAGAGAGTAACCTTCACTCGCTCGTTCGGAGCTAACCGCACCATAAAGATGACTTGCACAACAAAACAGCACAAATGAAAGTAGCAAAGAAGACACGCTGTAACAACCAGTGAATGCGAAGCAGGCGACAACATGTAGCCAAGAATAATCGTAAAAGAACAAAACAAGGTAACACACCTGTTTTGTTCTGGTTTTTTTAAAGTTTTTAAGTGTTTTATCGCTAGAATCAAATATTCATGCGATGACAACTCGTGTAGAAAAAGAGCGCATCGCTTCTAGCTCAGAAACGTTGTCTGCTATTGCCTAGGTCGAGGAGATTACCCGTCGTGGCCGCCTGCGATCATACGTATCACCACCAGTCGGCTATTGTGCCAGTCAGGCGCCTTTAATTAGCAGACGGCCACAATAGGTAGACATTTTAGGTTTTTCAATTCTAACTTTCTTTTTTGAGGTTAGTTTGTTCAGTGAAATTTGTATACCCTTCGTGCACACGTTTTGGTCACACCTGTGTAAAATCTTAGCTCGATACGTTCAGAAACTGGTTTATGCGGTCCCGTCAAACAGCCATTGGTTCATTTGACTCACCTTGCATACGTAAAAAAAATAGCAATAATTATTTTATCAACGTTGCAGATGAGGCGTGCACTCTCCTCCTCCCTGCGAGCGGCCTGGAAAAGAACGCGACGTGCTGCGATTTCATCTTCGATCTCCTCTGCGGCACAAAGCAGAAGTTTTACACCTATGACGACAGTTGCCCAGATTGAAGTATCAGTCTGAGGCCAGCTAGATCGAGAAGGCAGTTCCGATACCTAATTTAGAACAGCGATGGATGTGGTTTTAGGGAAATGTGTCACGGTAATGAGAAAAAAATGAATTCTTAGCTGCCTAATCGTACTTGTAATCATTGCGTTTAAATGACCGTAAAATATCATGCCTTTAAACTTGGTTTTATATAAAATGAGGATAAGGATGTGTTGAACATCTTTACTTAACACACACTTTAGATGTTTAAGGCTAAAGGTAAAGGCGGTGCAACGCAAATGGAATTGAGCTGTCTACTGCTTTATTGTTTATTTACAACATGATGCGTGACGTTCGCATACTTTGGATATAAATTATTTTTTCGATGGCCCTGTCTTAGCCCTAAGAGCTGTTTCTACGCAATAGTTGCTTGTTGTTTGAGCGTCTAGGTGTCCAGGGTGTGCTTCTACTGGACGCTCATTTCGTTCCTACGTCCTATCGTCCTATCGTCCTTTTTGGTATGGGGAAATACGACCTTGACTAATATAAATCAAATGCATATTCTTCAGAAGAGAGTGATTCGTATGATATGTCATACTAGCTATGACAGTCATATGAAACCATTGTTTAAACATTTAATATTGTGAAAATTACCAGTCACTATAGTTACAAATTAGCCCTTGCCTATAAAAAGTCGCTTTGTACCAACCGTTTACTTTTACCGATCTCAAATCTTCAGTTCAGGGAAACGCTCTACAACACTCGTTCTGAAGATGCGTGGGCAGTACCGCATTCCAGGACCAATTACGGCGATCAGATGCTGAGATATGCACTACCGCGCCTTTTAAATTGTTGCAGTGAATTGGATATAAATATTTTAAGTGGAACTCGGAAGGACGTGCTTTCTGTATTTGTTAATGATTTTCTTAAATACGTTCCGGAATAGTTAAAGTATGAATCGATTGTACGATTTAGCTCACTTATTTTCTTTTTATTGGTGTAGAGATTGTGAATTTGTATGAGTTTGTGTACGTGTATATATTTTTTTCTCTGCTGCGGTAGGGAGGGGATTTAGCTCACTTATTTTCTTTTTACTGGTGTAGAGATTGTGAATTTGTATCAGTTTGTGTACGTGTATATATATTTTTCTCTGCTGCTGTAGGGAGGGGGGCAGAGGCTCGTCAAGCAACACTGAGTTGCTTTTTTCTCTGCCTCCCCTCTCCAAACGGAGAGAAAATAAAGACTTTTGACTTTGACTTGACTGCGCACACGTTTATTATTCACCAAATCACAGTAATAAGGAGCTCAACGTGCGCCACACATAATGCAGCCTTTAGCATACGTATAACTTTACTAGGGCTGACGTGATATTTTGCGCAACATATAGGTCGACATCAAGAATTGTATATGTACCACTCACAAGAGGAGGTAGTACTCTTAGATAGGAGAAGTTCTCGAAGGGAAACCTGACACGTCGTCAGAGGTATCAAGATATACAGGTAACGTAACAAACACCCGCACCACAGTCATGAAGCGCGTCTTTAACGGGACCCTTTAGCCGGTGTCCCGGGAACTCACGCATCTTCAGCGATCGGAACCCCTTTCTTCCCGTTTTTCTTTTGCATGGTGCGTCTGCGCGGCCCCTGCAGGCAGAGTCCCTCGAAGGCCTTTGTTCCCACGCCTAGTCGGGGCATTTTTCGTTGTGCAATAAACATATATTTCAAAGATGCCCGTCTCGAGTAAGGGATCCGGACACTTCGGTTTAGGACGTTTTGATGTGGGATTGTTCGATCAAGTCTTTTTCGGTGCACGGACTTTTTGGCCCACGGACATTTCGATGTTAATATGTGTCTGGAAATGGAGAAGTTGACCGTGCAGCAGGAACTACATACAGACGCATATTTTAATATGTCCATGCATGAAAGATGCAGGATATGTTGAGATATTAAAGCTTGAGCATAGGTGACCTGGTTTAAGTTGGCAACGTTAGTAGCTGGGCGTGACGGTGCATTGTTCAAATATTAGAAAACCGTCCATCAATAAACATATGGATAAAACGACAGACAGACACACCACGCTGACTCACGACAAGAAGCAAACGAAGACGTATGTCGTGAATCAGTGCCGTGTCTGTGCCCTCATTGTCCTGGCGCTTATTTGCGCCGTTTTGTAGTATTTTGTTTACTACAGTATTAGTAACCCAGGAACACCTGAATACCAGACTGCTCTTAATTAGCTGTGTCTGCTTTAGTTTATTATAAAAAAAGATAAAGAATATAGACTTCCACAGATAAAAGTAATTAAATCGCCAGAACCAACAATAATAAATTCGACGTCGTTTTGGTGCACGGATATACATCCGAATACCTAAATAGTTGCGAATTAAGTCCGCATGACAGGTTAGACCAATTGATACAATTTGCAGAAATGCCACGTGAGTTCTTAGCGAGAGGCGTGGATCGATCAGGAGACAAACTTTAACATTTTAAAGAGGTACAGACTGTCCTAAGAAAGAACACAAGGGAGCGATGGCCCGGCCGGCGATAAGGCGACAAGGGGCGCTACGGTTGCTTAAAGAGATACTGAACCAAAATTTCGAGCTCACTAAACAAGGCCGGGCAGATAGGCGGGAAGCTGCAAAACCAAAAAAATATCACTCATACTGCGATATATCTAACGGATCGCCGTATTTTTTGGAAAAGAAGTGCGCGATTGAACCCGGCCTACGAGGCCGACGAGACAAGGCACGTCACGATTCCCATTCCCTCTCTCCTCCTTGCTACGTCCCGTCAAGCTGGTGAACCGATGCGAAAAGGAGAGAAGCCGAGGCCGTTTCTCCTCATTCTCAAATTCTCCCGGAGGACGCTTACGTCAAAGAATTCGCTTGATCGCGCCCTTCTTTTCCAAAAATACGGTCATTCGTTTGAGATATCGATGTACGAGTGATGTTTTGGGGTTCGTAGCGCCCCGTTCAACACTTCTGCAGGCTTACTTTGTGAAATCCGAATTTCGGTTCAGTATCCCTTTAAGCAGGCTGGGGCCGCAATTACCGAATTAGTCCACTCTTGGATGCACGGGGGACTTCGGTACACCAAAGTCGTTCCCAAAGCGTGCTTTGCGAACGACACAGCGTCACTGTGCACATGTGTTCGGTTTTCGCTCTCTCTTTGAGAGAAGCGCCTTCTTTTTTATCTGTGTTTTACCGTCATATACGATGTATTGACGCTGAACATGCTGGCGAATGAGAGATAATAAAGAAGCGTTGTCTCACGCATGACATTCCTCTTCTTTTGCTTCTTGCCGGGAGTCAGCGTGGTGTGTCAGTCTTTCTTTTTATCCATGTGCTTATAAATGCACGGTTTGCTATTATTTGAACTATGTACCGTCACGCCCAACTACTAAAGGTCGCCTGTGCTCTCGCTTTTGTATCTCACCTTCAGCAATAAACACCTTGTAAAAAAAAAATTAAAAAAAAAGATTACTACAAACGATAACGGTCTCTAAGCACCCCTGCGATCCAAAAGTGGGAATGCCCTGGTCACTCTCGCTCCCCGTGTTAACGCGAAATTCAGCGCCGCGTCTGGCGGTTTCCCCTCGGGGTCTGGCGGTTTCCCCTCGCCGGCCAAGCATCACTTATGTTCATCAGTTTTAGGGCCGACTGTGCGGCTAATCTATCGATTATATATAAGCGAAACGCTGGAATAATAATAAGAAAAATCAACTATTCAGGCATCATAGTGGTGAGCAGCAACAAGAAAACCGTAGCTAATCTCTCTGTCATCTGAATAATAAAGATAGCAAATAAAAATAATTGGCAGCGACGTTTAGCTTCAAAGTCCTCTAATGCGCATGAAATGCATTACGAGGAATAGGTCAGGGAATAGACGAGACGATTGGAGAGGAAATTGGTGAGTCACGTGACATATTTCGCGTGAAATTCAGCAAAGAAATAAAATGCTTCTATATGTCATGAGACGTGAGGTCACGTGAAGTCGATTTCCCCCGCTCAATTTATTAAGGAAAAAGAATATATGCATTGGCCGCAAGACATAAATTTTCCGCGCTAATTTCAGCGGGGAGACTGGGTTGATGTATAGGTCACGTGCCGTCAGCTTCCAAAAGGTGTTTAGCTCATGTGGCGACAGGTGACGTCACGTGACGCCGCTTCACCCCTAAAATTTAGCGGTAAATGCACGGACGGATGCACGAACGGACGCACGAACGAACGGACAAAAGTTTGGATTGGGGGTAGCGTTAAAAACGTTTTATCGACAAAATCATCCTCATAAATTATTAAACATTGAGGGCCCTTACGCGCATTACACAATAGGTTGGGTGCACTGAAACATTGTTAAATAAAGGCATATGTGAACAGAAATCTACACTCAAAGATGCCTATAGACAATAAAATCAAAAGCTATTAGTGCAGTTGTAAATTCTTACTTAGCTGCGATATGAATGCGGCACAGTTTGTCTGGGTCACAATACTGTTAGGCAGGCCATTCCAGCCCGCTACTGTTAAAGGGGCACTGACACATCAAAATCATATTTTTTTTTATTATCCGAAACGATTGAAAACGATGCCGGGACATTACCCTCAAAATTTCAAATTTGGGAGTTCAGTATTTGTGAAGTAAAAAAACAATTTCCAAATGCCGAATTCGAAGTTCCCGCGCGATCGGCGCCGGTGCCTTGACGTCAAAAATCGCGGCGACCTGAGAGTCGACTTTCTTTCACCACTCCGTGCTGTTGCCATGGCGACCCAAAGCGAGGAGGAAAGGAGTGAGCGGGGGCGTTACGGCGGACCGGTTTTGAGCGGTGTCGCCTGTTTTCCGTTGGAGGATACAAATCCAGGAGACGGCACCACAACGAACTCCCGATCTTTGGTATTTCAAAAAGAAGGGCCGTAGTACGTTCGCAATTGCGTTAAAAAACATGTTTTACGATTGCCGTAATTAAATGTTATAGAGATGTCGCCTACAAAGCTTCTAAATTTCCTGATTTTTGACGTCACCGATCAAAA